CCGTGGCCCTTGCGAGCTCTGTTTTCGGCTGCGATGGCCTCCTGCAACCCTCTGCCAGTGAAAACGGAGCTCAGGAGGACTGCACACAGCCCTCCCGAGCTCCGTTTTCACTGGCAGAGGCACTGCGGGGCAGTCCTTCGCTGTTTCCAGGAAAGCCCCATGGGTCAGATCTAAACACCCCGCGAACCGGATCCGGCCCCCAGGCCTTGAGTTTGACACCCCTGGTACAGGGTTTCCGGCCTAAGTACAGGGTTGAACTGGAAGACCTTCAAGATCCCTTCCAACTCTGTTATTCTATTCTATTCTTTAATTCTTCTGAGGTAAAATGAAGACCCAGATTGTTGGGGGCAATAAGTTGACTCCATAAACAGCTTAGAAAGGACTGTAAAGCATTATGGAGTAGTATATAAATCTAAGCGCTAATGCTTGTGGGAAGGAACCCAGTCTAAGTGCTATTGCTATTTCTAGGGATACAAATAGTCCTCAACTTACTAGTCACTTAACAACTATTCAAAGTTATGACAGACTTCAAAAAATCTACTTACGACTCATCCCCAAAGTTACAACTGCCCCCTCCACCCCCCACCCCTCCCCCTGCGTTACATGATTGCATTTCAGGCACTTGGCAACCGGCTCGCATTTATGTTCTGTTGCAGCATATTATGGTCACGTGGCTACAATTTACGATATTTTTTGACGTTTTATAGCAGAAAATGGTTTTAAAAAAAAACCCTCCTGTTGGATACATTTGGATTTGCTTAACAACCCTGTGGTTCGCTTACTTATTGCGATGACTTCACTTTACCACCATTGTAAAAATGGTCACAAAAATCAAATTTGGTCACGTGGTAACCTGCTTAACCACCACAACAACTTACAGCCAAAATTCTGGGTTCAGTTGTGGTTGTAAGTCAAGGTCTACAATCTAAGTCAATGTGCCGTGCCTCCTCCTTTATTCCTTTTTGCTAAAATACAGGAGGAAATTAGTGCATTAGATGTGCTTGGTATATCTATTTTGTCTCACCGGAAAAAGGCTTTGCTCGTTGCAGGGACATCATGAAGACCTTGTCTCTTGCAGCACTTAGAACTCAAGGGGGAAATAATTAACATTAAATTAAAAATTAAAATACAAGTGCCTAGCCACAAAAATAATATTAACTTGGACGTATTAGCAAATACATGGCAATTGATTAAAAGAAAATAACACGGACTCACACTAAGCCAGGAAGTAATTTCTAAAGTGCTTTTTTTTCCTTGGGATAAGAGAGCCGGCCGAGAAAGAGGAAAATCCCCCCCCCCGCCATTTACTTCCCCTCTCATCCTGATCTTGTCAAGATTAATTCCTGTGCATAGCTATAGAAGCTCCAATCTAGAAGGAAAGATCTTGCCATTTGCTTTTCGAAGGCTCCTGAACGTCTCTGTTGTGGTTTAACCCGAGTCAGCACGGTGGCAAAAAAACCACCAGGGCTATTTTTATGCGGTGGGAGGGGGGCGGAGAGTAGAATGAGGGCAGTCATATGGCAAAATTAGTTCCTAAACCGCTTTTAAAAAATTAGGTCAGTTAAAAGATTTCGCCCTACAACCTTTTGACCTCCTGTTTACTTAATGCTAAGCCTCTCAAATGAATGGGAATGTGCGTGGCCTAATGCCTGTTTGCTGTTGAAAAATGTTATATCACCGCTGGGTTTTCCAACCGGTGTACATTTGAGAAAAGTCAGGATCGGCCTTGATGGCCAAATGACTGCCTCTGAAGGACATCTGCTGGGAGACTGGTGGACTTCCTGGTGCAGGTGGGTGGGCCATGGTGAGAACAGGCAGCTGAACCAGATGGGACCAGGGGATCTGAGCCAGCTGTTTGCATTCGTGTGAATGACATTTATTTTAGTGTGAGTTTTCAGCATGGGAGAAGTAGTTGTCAGGTGTGAAAGACCAGGTTCACACATGAAGTTTCAATAAACTGATTTTTTTTGCTGAAAGCCTATGTGCAGGAATCTTTTATTGCTAAAAGCTTATGCACAGGAACTTTTTATTACTAAAACCCTATGCGCAGGAATCTTCTCAACTAACAGTGGACACCTGCTTAGAGTTAAGATAAGAGTCAACGGCACTTAAAGGGGGCTAGACTCAGTTCTCTTATGGCTACGTAGGGATTCTAGGCTGATCCTCCTTTTCACCCCACCCCACGTTTTGCCATCCGTTCTCCCAACATTAGCTGAAATAATTTGAGCTCTGTGACACAGTTATATGCTAAAGTCTAACAGCCTCTTAAGTCTTTAAACAAATGTCTATGGAGATCCTCTGTTATCCAGGTCGTGGTTGTCCCAAAGGTGCTTTTTCAAAAGGCAACTGGACTTTGTTTTTCCTTGAAGACATTTCGCTTCCCATCCAAGAAGCTTCCTCAGTTCTCTTATTCTTGAATGAGAAGCGAAACATCTTCAAGGAAAGACAAAGTCCAGTTTCCTTTTGGGGGGGGGGGGAAACACCTTTGGGTCTTGCCATGAAGCTGGGGGAAGATGCAGAAAAGAGGACCGGAAATTTGGATAATTCAGAGGAACCTCCTTTGGAAGGCAGCTGGAGAGTTAGAAGTTCTGGCAAGAGCGAAGGCTGATCTTGCTTCTGAGCCCCACTCTCTCCACCAGCAGACTAACTGGCTGCTACCCAAAACAAACTTTGAATTAGATGGAATGAAGGGGTTCAGCCAGCAAACAGTTAGGAGATTGCAATATACAGTCCTGGCGAGATCATTGGACAAGGAAAAAGCTGGGTTTGAATCCTTATGGTATTTTTGACTGGCACGCCATCTTACCCTGATTACATTGCTTGGAGGATGAAAAATCTTAAAAAGTAGGGAGAAATATCAATGGCTGCAAGCTAATTTGGAGAGGGGGAGTGGGGGCCTAAGAAAGGAAAAAGAAGGCAGATACTGGGGAGGTTCTGGTGAAAGCAAATTTATCTGTGTTATCCTGGCTTTCTTGCCTTTTAAAAAATGATAATTAACACTAAACAGTTATTCTTATCTCCATAAATGCAATTTGAGGTTTGTATGAGTGTGTATACATCAGTGAGAGGGTGACTTTGGCATGCATTCTTTCCCATGAGTGTAAAATGTATGTCTAATGTTACATCCATACGGCCCCATAAACATCCTGTCTGTGTATAAAACATTGTTTCTGGAATAAAGGGGCCCGCTGAAAAATGTTTTATTTCATTTCCTTATAAGATTTGGCATAGAGGGAACTGGTTTTTTTTTTTTAGCAGAGGGAATAAGTATGGTTACAAGATGCTTCATCCATGTCTCAGATAAGATCTAGACTTTTGCCCAGGGCCACAGAAATTATAATGCTTTATTGATGCAATATGTGGAAGCATAGAAGAGTTCTCATATGAAATGGGGTCTTCTTCTCAGCTAGAATATGGAAAAGAGGGAATCTTTTCACCTAGAACAGGGGTGTCAAACTCAAGGCCCTCGGGCCAGATCCAGCCCATAGTGTGGTCGGATCTGGCCCGCAGGGCCATCCTCCTCTACCCAATGTGAAGAGGAAAGATTGGGCCAGCATAGCTTCGGCCTGGTCTACCCAGTGCAAAGAGGAAAGATTGGGCCAGGGTGGCTTCGGCCCAGTCTACCCAGTGCGAAGAGGAAAGATCGGGCAGTGTAGCGTTGGCCCGGTCTACCCAATGCAAAGAGGAAACATACCAGCAGTTTGGGGAATGGCGTCAAGCTGGCCACACCTGCCCAATTGGCCACACCCACCTGGCCCCCTGACGTCAACCACAGTCCTGATGCGGCCCTCAATGAAATTGAGTTTGCCACCCCTGACCTAGAATATAGAGAAGATAGGATCTTCTCAGCTAGAATATGGAGAAAGTGAGGGTCTTCTCAACCAGAAAATGGAGAGGATGGGGTCTTTCCAGCTAGAATGTGGAGAAGATGGGGTCTTTTCAGCTGAAGTATGGAGAGGTCTTCTCAACTAGAAATTTATAGGGTTACTTGTTTCAATTCCGAAAAAAGCACACTAATTTTATTTCGTTTTGTTTTATTTTAAAGTTATTGCCAACGCGCCAAGTATCTCAGCAGCTACGTATAATATTTATTTTGGATGTTGTTATTTTTTATTGTTTTAAAATGCTCTCAGTGTTTTAATTATGTTTTTGAATTGTAAACTGCTGAGAATCATTGAGATGGGCAGCTATAGAAATTGAATAAATAATAATAATAATACTGGTTTGAGAAAATCTGGGATATTGGCGGTTGGTAGGGAAGTGCAGTGATTTGAATCCAAAATTGAAGAGGTGCCACAAATACGGCTGCAACACCCATCAGCGTTTCCTCTGAGAAGCCGCGTCTTCTTTTGGGAGCTCATATAGCAGCCAGGAAAATATCCTTTTGAGTTATCCAGATATGCAACAAGCTGTTTCAGGGCGTGCTGTTGCTACCTCCTAAACTCAAATGTATATTTTCCTGCAATCCTACAGCAACAACGCAAGCCCGGGAAAACATGCACTTTTTAAAGGATGTGCCAACTGTTGCAGAGTAACTTTCTGGCTTCAGATACAGAACATTGCACATCCCAAGATGTTGGATTTCCAACAAAGCTCCAGCAGATGAGGGAAATTTTTGTTTTCTAGCTGTATTCTGACTTACGTCTCCATTTATGGGTAATTTTCCAACACTTCCGATTTGCTCCCAGCAGGTTGGAGGTGAGACTAAGATGTAAAAATTCTCTTTATCACCAGCTCTTGGGGCATTCACTGTTGGGGAACCCTGGTGTACATAAACAGGCTGCCTTGAGATATCGTTGAACTGTATCTTTATTTTTAACCCTGATTTAACTTTTAGAAGGTTGAATTGGGTTTTGAGGGTGTCTGATAAAAAGATGCAACAGAATTGGAAGATGAATAGAACGGGAGGATTAATCCCCATCACCAGGATGCCTACCTGCTTTCAACCATCCTAATATTTTCCCAGACAGACTTTTGTCTCTTTGATTCTTGATCTCTAGGAAAAGGTACAGAAAGAAGCAACTACCCATTTGGAAGAGATGCAGGCATGCCAGCTATCAATCAGGTAAGCAAGGCTGCTCTTTTATTTTAGTTAATTCATTAATTTGAAGTGTGTTTTAAAGATTTATTCAGCAAAGTCTTGATCTTTTAGAACAGGGGTCTCCAAACTCGGTAACTTTAAGACTTGTGGACTACAACTCCCAGAATTCCCCAGCCAGCATGACTGCCTGTGGAATACTAGGAGTTGAAGTCTGCAAGTCTTAAAGTTGCCAAGTTTGGGAACTCCTGTCTTAGAACAAAGAGATGTATGTTTTCTTTCTCGTAAGCAGAATAAGGGAATTTCACTTTTCCTCTAGGGTGCATTACAGAACATATGAATTGGAAGGGATCTTATAGGTCATCTCGTCCAAATCCCCTGCTCATTTCAGGAAACCACTAAATCATTCCACAATAGTGGGAGGGGAAGCTATTTAATCCCCATTTGAAAAAGTCCACAAGGGAAAGCCGTCATCTAGCCTCCAAGGGGGAATCAACTGCTGAAGCTCTCTGGTTTTCAAATCTAGCTTAAGTCTTGCTGTTTATCCAAAAGAGATGCGCCAGACTAGACCAAGTCCTGCTAATCCAGCATTTTCATTTTTTTCAATTCTGATCAGGATCTGGGTAGCTTCACAAGTAGAGTTTCTCTACCTGTCCATCCGTCCATCCATCTACTCATCCATCCATCCCTATCCCTATAGCTATATATACTGCTCAAAAAAATAAAGGGAACACAAGCAGAAGACATCCGAGATCTGAATGAATGAAATAGCCTTATTAAATACTTTGTTTGTTACATACAGTAGTTTTGTGTTCCCTTTAGTTGTTTGAGCAGTGTATAAACTACTGTATGTAAAGAACAAAGTATTTAATAAGGCTATTTCATTCATTCAGATCTCTGATGTCTTCTGCTTGTGTTCCCTTTATTTTTTTGAGCAGTATATTATAGCTATAGCTATATAGTTATATATCTATAGTTCTAGCTATAGATACTATATATAGTTATATAGCTATAGTTATAGCTATAGCTAGCTATTATTTGTCCCTATTATCTAGCTATCTGCCTAGATCGATCGATCGATCAATCGTAATTAGAGTTGTGCAGGAAGTTTGAAAGGAAAGTCATTGTGACTGTCTTGAGATCTGCTGCTTGTTTATTCTCTCCTTGCAAATGGAGTTTGCATTACATTCCCATGTTCAAATACCTTCACTTCCTTGGGTTTTCCTCCCCCTCCAATTAAAAAAAAAAAGTCTTTTTTTTTTTTTTTTTTTTTTGCAATAGTGTAAAAACTGCCTGTGTCCAAACACTGTAAACTGGTAACCCCTGACTCTCCTTGTGACTTTCTTGCAATCTGCCCAGAATGCTGGGCTAAACGGACTTGGAGATTCATCCTTCATGGTTTGTGTTACAATCTGTGGACACAGAGATGAGGTTTAAACCACGGGTCTCTAAACTTGGTAAGTTTAAGACAACTTGTGGACTTCAACAGCATGGCTGGCTGAGGAATTCTGGGAGTTGAAGCCCACAGTCATTAAAGTTGCCATATTTGGAGACCCCTGGTATAGACAAATGATTTGTTGAAGGAAGCCAGCACCACACAAATGAGAGATCCTCTCAGTTTCATAGTTATGCTAGTCATTCCTGCCGGTTGATGTTCTCTAAATATTTTGGATTATAACTCTCATCCTAATGGGTATGTCATCTGCGAATTACAGTGGTTATTCCCAACCGACATATTTGGAATGTGCTAGGTTGGGGAAGAGAACGGGCAGTGAGTAATTGCTCCATTTTATTATATATATATATATATATATATATATAATATATTATATTATATTATATTATATTATATTACATTACATTACATTACATTACATTACATTACATTACATTACATTATATTATATTATATTAATTTATACACACACACACACACCGTATTTTTTGGACTATAAGATGCACCTGACTATAAGATGTACCTAAATTTAGAAGAGGAAAACAGCACAAAAAAGTTTTTGGCCTCCGTGCGCCCCATTTTCGCCCCATTTTCCAGCCCATTTTCGAAGCTCTTTTTGGCCTGCTTTTGGGGCTTTTTTCAGCCTATCTTTGGAAAAAATGGACCGAAAAAAGCCTCGAAAACAGGCTGAAAAAAGCCTTGAAAACAGGGCTGAAAAAGGCCAAAAAAAGGGGCGTGTGGAGGCTAAAAAACGGGACTTTGGCAATATTTGGTCTATAAGACACGCAGACATTTTCACCCCCTTTTGGGAGACAAAAAAGTGTGTCTTATAGTCCGAAAAATATGGGGTATAAATATATATATTCTCTCCCATCCCATCCCCACCTGCCTGAACAGAGCTGTGCCACAATTGCGTGTTCCTTTCTTCTAAAGGAAAAATAAGATAAGATCCTAAAATGGTGGCAGGAGAAAAAAAAAAAAGGTTTTTTTTCAAAAAAAAAAAAAAACATTAGACCAATTTTTCCAAAACTTCTGAGACAGGCGGATTTATATATATATATATATATATATATATATTTCTGCTGAATTTCAAAGCAGATGTGCAAGGACTGCTATGGGTGCCAAAATAGATGTAATTTTAAAAACAGAACAGGAGACTTGCCAGCCGGCCATGTGTTTAAATAGTATGGGTTTGGAGTTTGCTTGTGTTGTTGTTGTTTTAATTTGCTTTCTGGGAGGAGGAGGAGGAGGAGGAGGAGGAGGAGAGAGACATAATTGAAAGGGTGACGTCATGAATGGAAGAGTCAGTGGGAAGAGCAAGGCTCTTGCTGTGCAGACCATAAATCAAGGGGAAGAAAGCATAGCCTGTAAGTTTTCCTCAGGCAAGGGGTCTGCCAAATCCAACATTATTGGTGAGACACAGTCTAAACATTTCCAGCAACAACTCTTCCGTGGTAGAATGCTTTTGAACAAGGAGTTTTCATTTTTGCCCCCCCCCCCCCAATACAGGTAGTCCACGGGAATGGTGTGGTGGCCTAGAGGTGGAGCTCTCGCCTCACAATCAGGAGGCTGTGAGTTCGATCCTAGGTAGAGGCAGATATTTCTCTCTCTGGGCACACTGAAAATATAACTGCTGAACAAAATTCTGCATTGGCAACAGGAAGGGCATCCGGCCATTAAATACTCTGCTGGCTCCATTCAGTTGCCAAGACAAACTCCACCCCGCAAGGGATTATGGGGTCGTTAAACGATGATGATTAATACAGGTAGTCCTCGACTTATGACCACAATTGAGTCTAAAATTTTGGTTGTTAACTGAGACATTTGTTCAGTGAATTTTGCCCCATTTTACGACTTTTCTTGACACAGTTGTTAAGTGAATTGCCGCAGTTTATAAATTAGTGACACGATTATTAAGCGAATCTGGCTTCCCCATTGACTTTGCTTGTCAGAAGGTCGTAAAACTGTGATCCCATGATCCTGGACACAGCAAAGGTCATAAATATGAAACCCGTTGTCAAGCATCTGAATCTTGTTCATGTGATCATGGGGATGCAGCAATGGTTGTAAGTGTGAAAAATGATCGTAAGTCACATTTTTCAGTGCCGTTGTAACTTTGAACGGTCACTAAATGAACTGTTATAAGTCGAGGACTACCTATACTTACTAGTTATTGGTCTTGTAAGAATTGGTAGAGATGAAAATTCTGATGATACAAAACCAGATGTTTCTCAAGTGTTCCTCAAGCAAGACATAAAAAAGGAACAGTTCCCCTTTCCTACAGGTAGTCTTCAACGTACAACAGTTCGTTTAGTGACCATTCAAAGTTACAACAGCACTGAAAAAAGTGACATTTTTCACACTTACAACCATTGCAGCACCCCCTTGATCACATGAGCAAGATTCAGATGCTTGGCAACTGACTCATATTTATGACGGTTGCACTGTCCTGGCATCATGGATCCCTTTTTGCGACCTTCTGACAAGCAAAGTCAATGGGGAAGCCAGATTCACTTAACAACCGTGTTACTAACTTAACTACTGTACTGATTCACTTAACATTTGTGGCAAGAAAAGTTGTAAAATAAAACAAAATTCACTTAACAAATGTTTCACTTAGCAACAGAAATTTGGGGCTCAACTCTGGTCGTAAATCGAGGACTACCTGCATTTGTCTTCCAATATCTAATGTTTGTTTATTTGTAAAATTTACTTATTTGTAAAATTATTAGCCGCCCATTTTGCCACAAGGTAGAATGTTTAGAATAGAAATGAGACCTTGGCACCCTAATTGTGACACTCCCAAGATTTTGCTGCCAAAGATAGTCCTCCACTTATAACCATTTGTTTAGTGAATGTTTGAAGTTACAACGGTGCAAGGGGGAAAAAAAGACTTACGACCAATCATTTGCAAAGGTTGCAGTATCCTGTGGTCATGTGATCACCATTAGCAACTTTCCAGATGTCCTTTGGCAAGCAATGTCAGCGGGGGAAGCCGGATTTATTTAATGACCATGTAATTCATTTAACAACTATGGCGAAAAAGGTCAAAATCAGGGTGTGATTCACTTAACTTAGCATTGCTTAGCAGTGGAAATTCTTGTCCCAATGGTTGTCACAAGTTGAGAAGTACCTGTAATGCATTTCTTATCTTTTTTCAAAATTAAAAATGGAAATCCTCCCTCTTGTTTGCTTTCTTATGCATTTATTTGGAAAACTTATATAGACCCCCTATTTTAGACATGATAATCCTAGGTAGCTCACATCAACGTTCATAAAAACAAGGGTATAGACAAACCCACAAAATCCTACTAAAGACATACTTCTCACCACAGCCCCACAATATCTCATTAAATCTACATTGAGTGGGCTCATTTCTAGCCCAATGCTTGAACCAGATCTTCACCATATCTGAAAGGCTAAAATGATGGGAACCCTCCAAATATTTAATTTCCTCCTTAATCCTTCCTTCCTTCCTTCCTTCCTTCCTTCCTTCCTTCCTTCCTTCCTTCCTTCCATCCATCCATCCATCCATCCATCTCCAAGAAGTAAAATCCTCGTCTTATGACCACTATTGAGACCACAATTTCCATTGCTAAGTAAGGCGTTTGTTAAGTAAGTCGCACCTGATTTTACAATCTTTTTTTATCATGGTTGTTAAGTGAATCAAGAAGTCGTTAAGCAAACCCTGCTTTCCCCGTTGACTTTGTTTGTTGGAAGCCAGCTGGGAAGCCCGCAAATGGTGATCACGTGATCCCAGTATGCTGCAACCACGATAAATGCATGCCAATGGCCAAATGCCCAAATTTTGATCACGTGACCATCGGGGGATTGCTACAATGGCTGTAAGCGTGATGACTAGTTGTAAGTCACTTTTTAAAGTGTCTTTAATTTTGAACAAAGAAACAAATGGTTGTAAGTCAAGGACTATCTGTAGTCCGTAAACTGGAGAGTACCATTTGGCCAAAGTTGAAGAATCTGCGGCCTACCAGAAGTTGCTAAACTACAACTACCAGCATCCCTTTCCTGGTAAAGATGAGGAATCTGTGGCCTACCAGAGGTTGCCAAACTACAACTACCAGCATCCCTTTCCTGGTAAAGATGAGGAATCTGCGGCCTACCAGAGGTTGCCAAACTACAACTACCAGCATCCCTTTCCTGTTGGACATGCTAGATAGGACCGTGTGTCTTGGACTACAATCCCTGTGCTATTGCAGAGGTTGAAGTCCATCCTACCCGGAGGTTATCATTGAGGAAGGTTGCTATGGATTTCTGCCAAGTTGGCAAAGGTATGAAAGAACTAGACTAGCCAAACCGGAATATAAACCTGGCACTATCGCTCCCATGCGTCCACACCTGGTGCTCGGCTTCTCGTTTTGGAAAACCATGTTCGGCAAGAGATTTGGGTTTTGTTCAGGCTGTGATGGTGCACTCTTGTTTTTCTTGTTTCTGCAGCCTGGCTTTCTGCCTAGCGAAATAGGGATTTCGAGTCCCAGCACGCTCTCCCCAACGGGGGTGAAGGGAAGCTCGCAGTACTACCCATACGCCAACAACCCTCGCAGGAGAGTCGCAGACAGCAACATAGGTATGTGGCCTTAGTGAGGGTGTTGGCTGGAGCAGTTGCCTTTGTGAGGGATGTGTGTAGTAAAAATTCTCTGTTGCAAAGGAGGAAGATCAAAAGACATTTCCTGTCAGGGTCTCACTGTAGCCCTTCCATTACAGAAAGTTCCTTTCCTATTGTTTTGAGAGTTTCTCAGATTCATTTAAACCACTGTTGTTCAATCTTAGCAATTTTAAGATGTGTGGACTTCAGTTTCCAAATTCCCTGTGCAGCATGCTGGCTGGGGAATTCTGGGAATTGAAGGCCATACAGTTTAATTGCCAAGGTTGAAAAATACTTATCTAAACTTTAAGACTTGTGGACTTCAACTCCCAACCTGCATTGCTGGCTGAGGAACTCTGGGAGTTGAAGTCCACAAGTCTTAAAGTTGCCAAGGTTGAAGACCCCTGATGTAAACCACCATTCTTGCTCAAACAGGGAACAACCAAGGGCTTCTAAGAAACCCAAAAATTAATTATGATGGCAGTAATCCTCTTTGACTTATTTTTCTGCAACCCAACAAGACAGACACAGACTTCAGAGGATAATTAGAACTGCAGAAAAAACAATGGCTACCAACCTGCCTTCCATTGAGGACCTGTATACTGCACAAGTCAAAAAGGGGGCTGTGAAAATATCTACAGACCCCTCGCATCCTGGACATAAATTGTTTCAACTCCTACCCTCAAAACAACGCTATAGAGCACTGCACACCAGAACAACTAGACACAAGAACAGTTTTTTCCCCAACGCCATCACTCTGCTAAACAAATAATTCCCTCAACACTGTCAAACTGGTTACTAAGTCTGCATTATTATTAATCTTCTCATTGTTCCTATCACCCATCTCCTCCCACTTATGACTGTATGACTGTAACCTTGTTGCTGGTATCCTTAAGATTTATATTGACTGTTTCCCTATGACTGTCATTAAGTGTTGTACCTTATGATTCTTGACGAATGTATCTTTTCTTTTATGTACTCCGTGAGCGTATGCATCAAGACAAATTCCTTGTGTGTCCAATCACACTTGGGCAATAAAGAATTCTATTCTATTCTATTCTATTTTAAACCGTATGCCAGCATTTGGAGGAAAGGTTTTAATGTAATTGTATCCGTCTTGTCTTTCCTAGGGAGGGACAGTTGTATTAGGCCCATACTGAATAACTGAATACTATAGAGAGGAGTAGATGTGCTTCCCACAACTTTTCTTCAAGGTTAGATTAATTCCAGATAATCAGCCTCCTTTGAATCATCACCAGTAGCCTGAAATAGACCTAAGTATGAATTTGTTTTCTTCAATTCATTATTTTCCTGCCATTGGATGACCCAAGAATCTTAATATTTAGAGACAGAGAGAAAAAAAAATCTTAACACTGTAGATCAGCTGAACTCAAATTAGTTTCGCTCTAGATGTGCTGTGACAATAAATTCAAAGAAACTGAAGGTTTGGGATTTTTTAAAAAAAATAATTTACTTTTTTTATTTAAGAAATTTTATGTGGTGGCTCACTTCAGACTCAGTGACTCTGGGTGTCTTACAAAGATAATTTGGAGAATTATGATCCCAATGTATCTGGAGAGGTACCAGTTTAGAGATAGAGGTTCTAACTCAGTGTATCTCAAGCTTGGCAACTTTAAGATGTGAGAACTTCAACACCCAAAATTCCCCAGCCAGCCATGCTGGCTGGGGAATTCTGGAAGTTGAAGTCATATGTCTGAAAGATGCCAAGATTGAGAAACTTTGCTCTAACCACTGCTATCTTGTTGAAACTGTGTCCGAAACCTTACAAAGTGGCCTTCCCTGTCCAAGGAGTCCACCAGTGATTGATATTGGGTCTCTAAAAGCTGTTGATCTACTATTGACACATACTTTATCAATGATTTAATATATTGTAATAACAGCAACAAAAGCAATATTTATTTTACAAAGGGAAAATGGCCACGTACACTTGTTACAACAGAAACCATCTTTTTGTGACACTTTCCCAAGTGTTTCCCAAACTGTGAGGTGTATCTCCTTTGAGGAGGTACAGATAGAATCCACGGGAAGTGCGAAGAATCCCGGGGAAGTGTGAAGCACTTTTTAGTGTACAATTACAGTACATCCAGCTCTCCCATACTTTCATTGTGTTATTTCCATCGTTGATTTTCTGTTCATTTTGATGTTTGGATTTTTTAGGGAAAGTGTGTATATTAAGATTGCGCTAAAGGGAGGTGTGATGGCAAAAGGTTTAGCGATCCATGCGGTAAAGCCTTTTGTGGAATCCATGAGTCCAAGAAACCTTTGCCTTAGTAGCAATATTGTTGTCATTTTAACAATGTTATGACAATGAAAACATAATAGACAAAATGTCATTATTACCATATCAAATCTTTCCCCTCAAGAAGCTGAAACTTGCCTGAATTGTTGTGGTTGGTTCGTTCGTTCATTCATTCATTCATTCATTCATTTCCTGCCTTTATTATTTTTTACAAATAACTCAAGGTGGCAAACATATCCACTATACCTTCCTACTCCTATTTTCCCCACAACCATGTGAGGTCAGTTGGGCTGAGAGAATGATTGGCCCAGGTCACCTAGTTGGCTTTCATGGCTACAGTACAACTAGAATTCACAGTCTCCCAGTTTCTAGCCTGGTGCCTTAAACCATTAGACCAAACTGGCTGTCTCCTTCCTGTTTCGTTCATCTATAGACTATGCAAGGCAGATTCCTCTGATAGTGAATGGGTCTATTGTAAAGGCAGGCCATAGGACTTCAGTAAAGATGGGGTTTGAATCCAGGTCTCCTGATGCCCCTCCACTCACCTTGTCATGTGGGGTGTGAAACAAATAGAGAAGGCCAGAAGATCAGTGAGCTGGGTGCGACCCACTTCCTGCGTGAAGCATCTTCAGGTGCTCTGTGCTTTGGGAAGCTCAGCCAGCTGCCAGGTATCCTGCATCCCATTGCTTTGAAGTCAGTTCCCCAGAAAGCTGCAAGCAACATCAGCTAGAGAAGCTTCAAAAATGAATCGGAGTCTCATAAGGATGTTTTGAGATCGCTTCCAGCACATCCTTCCTGGCAAGCAATTTTGCCAGCCAAATCCAAGCTGCATGTAAATATTCCCTTTATCCTCCCCCACCTGCTCGATGGGCACCTTGTCCGATTCAGAGGAGCAGAGGGAGGATGCTAGGAGATCTTCCTTTAAAAAACCAATTTCCCATCTCTTTTCAAGCGACACACACACACACCCCCACACACACACAGACTTTATGAGGTGGAATGGAGGTAGTTGCTGGATTTTGCCTTCAGGAGAACCCAGACATCTGGCATTCATTGATGGAAAAGAATCTCAGGAATGGAGTCCTTTTAGTGAACGTAGCCATGCGGCTTTTTCTCTGCCACTCGGCAGCCAGGACCAAAGGTGAGGGAGAAATCAGCCATTTGCAAACATTATTAATGTATATAACGCTGTCTGGCAGGCGGTGTTTTGCAAAGAACAGGTGCACAGGTCCTGGCCCCGTTTCCCTGGCCTTAGAATTTAAAACAGACCCAGGAAGAGAGAGATCATAGAAAAGGGAGAAACAGAGGCAGCAGCAGAGTGCAGGGCCATAGTAGCAAGGATGAAGAGAAGGAGGATGAACTGGTAGGGTAAAACGCTCAGGCCTTTATCCATGCCTTCTTAATTACCATAACAAATAAAAATTAATAATTAGAGGTGTGCAGGAATCTGACCCATAGCGGGAGTGATGCTTTCAGATCCGACATCAGCACAATAAACAAGGGGGTCTATTTTAGTCCCGAGCCACTTTTGCTGCTTTAGATTTGAGCATTACATATTTTTAAAAATAATACATCTAGTCCAACTGTGACTGCAGGACCCTGCACCCAGTTGTAAATGTGGGCCAGTTGCCAAGGATCCAAAATATGAACACAAGACACACCACATGACCAGACTCGATTTTATGACTCTTTTACAAGTCATTAAGTAAGTCATGTGGTTGAATGGTTGCAACAAGTCACAACTTTGACAATGGGTTGTAAATAGCTTTTTTTCAGTTCATTGTAATTTTGACCAGTTGTTAAACAACTAGTCATAAGTCAATGTCTGTCTGTGTATTTTTCTCTTTTTTCCCCTCTTTCTGCAAAATAGCTCATTTAAAAGAGCTGTTTTCTTACTTCCAAGAAAACCCCCAAAAGGAGAACCATGTTTTAAACCTAACAAGAGTTCATAATGCTCACCCTTTTCCTTCTTTTTGAACTCGTGGGGTAGAGGGGAGAATAGCTTCACAGAAGTGGAGTTAAATTCTAGCAGTTTTTTTCCCCTAGATCAATTCTTCTTTCCTCTTTTATGAAGATCCTGCAAAACAAAACAAATGCTTCCTTCCTTCAATGATTCAATTTGTTCGTCTCATTTGCATGTCAAAAAATGTTCTCAAGAAGAAAGCACCCTCCGTGTGATCATTAGGAAGTTCTCTCCAGCTCAGTACTCTCTGGGTACCTTGAACTACAAAATCCATCATCCTTAGGGAGTTACAAAGGTGTAGTCCAGCAGATTTGGGGATGTGCTGGGTAGAGGAAGATGGGGCCTAAAGACTGTATCATGAGGTGCAAAGGCAGTTCATATTTGATGAATATTTAAGGGGCCATCTGTCTCTTGTAGAGTTGGCATGCTTTGAGTCCCATTGATTGAACAGAGTTACAATGGGCCCCACCTTCTCTGTCACAGCATCTGCTCTCCCAACACAGTATCTCCAGAGGTTCAGATGACCCCCAATCTGACCTTGTTTAAGCAAGTTTTGAAGATCTGGCTCTTCCCCCAATCCATGGGTTAGGGAGTACATCAGTCCCTCCGTAACCCTTGGGAATATGCGGAGATAAGGTTTACAATTTTATGTTGTACCCGGATGTCTGTTAATTCTTTTTTCCTGGCTTATAATGTGCTGTTCTTAATATTGTACATGGCTCAGAGTCATTATGGTGTCGGGTGGCTTTGGAAAATTTAACAAATGTCACTGGAAGTGCAAGCTTCACTAATAATGGGATATAATTAACAAGAACGAAAGGAAGACAAAACGGTGTGAAACTGTGAATGCCAAAAATACACGCTGCCTTTATCTCAAAACATTGCTTAGCAGTCATAAGCAGAGCTCTGTTAGATAGCCCAGTTATTCGGTCCTTAGTAAAGGACAGCTAAAGCAGGATATGAAAAGAGCAAGTAGATTCAATCACACCCTTGAGATATATATATATATATTTCCCTCCAAGAGTTAAAACTGGGCCTTATTTGTCTGTGGAGATTCTCAGTCATCCAGTTCATGGTTGCAACAAAAGGTGCTTTTTTCAAGAGGCAACTGGACTTTTTTTTTGTTTTTCCTTGAAGTGGTTTCGCTTCTCATCCAAGAAGCTTCTTCAGTTCTGAGAATAGAACTGAAGAAGCTTCTTGGATGAGAAGCGAAACGTTGCCCTTGAAAAAGCATCTTGGGACATGGACCTTACTTTGCTGCCCCTGGCTGATGAATTCTAACAGATACTCCATTTCTCCTTGATAAGTTTGTCTTGTCCCTTTTTAGAGCCATCAATATCTGTAACTTAACATTACTGGTATAGTTCGACTTACAACTGTAATTGTGTCCACAATTTTAGTTACGGTCATAAAGTGGGCCATCATGTGACCCGTCTGATTTTTATGACCTTTAAATATGGTGGTTGTTAAGCAAATGCAATGGTCGTAAAATGAATGCCACAGTCATTTAAATGAATCCATTGTCCAACACCGGGTGTTTGGGGCCAGAAACCAGAAATAAACACTGGTTACCGGCCAAAATGACATAAATTGTAGTCACGTGACTCTGGGGTGCTACAAATGGTCGTAAATACCAGCCAATGGCTGAGCACCCAAAATGAAATTACATGACTTCATGGTGGGGCATTCATCGGACCTTCGAGTCTGGGTCGTAAGTCCCATGTTCGGGGTCTGTCAAAAATGCAAACGGTCGCTAAGCGACTGGGATGAAGTTCTTTCTTTTCTTTGTTCCAAATTTTCTTGATTTCATGGGGGGGGAGGGGAAACGACAACTCCACCTTAACTTCCTTTCTGACTCCGAAGTCCATCAGTGCAGACCAGCGTTCAACCAGGCATTGCGGTTAATCTTTTGTATTGAAGTCAAGTACAGAAGAAATCTAATCCTTTGCCGAGGATGACCCAGGATGAGCTGATATTTCTCATTTTAACCTACCGTACAAGATGGTTGCAAAGGATGTATTTGGGGGAATATATTTGCTGTCCTCAGCTTTATGGAAGAAGGTGAAAAATAAACACGAAACTGAAATTTATGTTGATGCAAGGGCTATTGCATGAGACTGTTTTAGCTGAGTTTTGTTTTAAAGCTGGTGGGTTTTATCTTCAGTTGCATATTTTGAGGTTGATTTTTTTATTTTTAATCTGTCTCCAAACATTCATTTAGAAGAGCAGGGTACTCTACAAATTGTTAAATTTAAGTTGTTGTTATTGTTGTTGTTAAGCTCTGGTAAACCTTGGGAAAATCAAGGTAACCCATCTGTAAAATGAGTTTCAAAATCTGGATCCAAATCTTCCTACTATATTGTGCTGCTCCAAAGCTTTGTCTCTAACTGGCTTCGTTTTTATCTATTTCTTTGTTTTTCTACTCCACGTTCAGATGGACAACCGAAAAAAGTCCGAAAGGTGCCTCCAGGACTCCCGTCTTCAGTAAGTTACGATTTTCTCTAACCATCTATCAAAGTTGATCAAGAGTCTAGCTGTTAGTGCATTGAAGGCAGTTCCTGATCTTTCCCTCTTTCTGATTGGTGGAACTGCTGTGATGTCAGAGAACATTTGAGAGCCACTAGCTGAGAGAGACAGAGAAAGAGAGAGAGAGAGAGAGAAGGATGCTGGCAGAGTGCCAAAATGGTTTCTAACTAGTATAAAGCAGAGCCCAAGGCCAGTTTAACTGCAAGAGGCTGCTAGATTTCAGAAAAGCCAGTGAACAATTTAAGTCAAGGGGAGGAAGCTTGTGGTATTGAGGAGAAAGGGACCACAATTGTGTGTGGACAGGTCAGAAAAAGAGCTGTGGGAGGGTAGGAGTCAGGGTAAGAAGGGGAACAAATAAACTCAGCAATAATGAGATGGACAGTAGAAGTAGAGGACAGCAGACAGAATTGGAGAAGTGGAGGGCATCTTAAAGATCATCTAGCTCAACCCTTTATCAGGCTAGAAAGTCTACTACTACTACAAAATACTGATTAGGTCTCCATCTGATCCTTGTTTAAACAGGGAACATTATACCAAGTGTTAGAAAGAGATGAAGGCCAAGATCCTGAATACAAATTATAAAGAAGTGTTTCCCAACCTCGGTAACTTTAAGATATGTGGACTTCATCTCCCAGAATTCCCCAGCCAACATGGCTGGCTAGCTAGGGAATTCTGGGAGTTGAAGTCCACATATTTTAAAAGGTATCAAGGAAACACTGCTATACAGGATATTATAATAATTTCAATTGTAATCTTGATCTAACCGGGTCAGATTTTGGGGGATACCTATATTTATGTAACCATACTTTGCATCATTCTGGCAGTCCGCATGTGTGTGATATTTTGCTCATTGTACCTTTGTTTCAATTACAAATTAGTGGCAATAAAGCTGAGTGATAGAACCCCTAAACCTTTCTGACAATGTGGGTACATACCAGTATACCCAAAAGACTGCTATTTAGAGAAAGGAGCTTTTGAAAACCCCTTTTAATATTGCCTGTGAATTTATGTGCCCATGCTTGTAAAGAAAGGCTGGAATAAGAGAAGTTGTATTCCATTAAGATATGAATCACTGCTTTCTCACTCCTAGGCAAATCAAAGGCTTGTGAGGGAATCATTTTTTTATTGTTGTGTTAACACATCCTTTTGATGCAAGTTCTTTTGGTTATTTTCTTTTAAGAAGGAATATGGGATTTTTTTATTAAACTGAACTAACGATTTCCACCTGTCTGTTTTGGAATCTCCTACAGATAGTCTTTCAATTACCATCACAATTTAGCCCAAAATTTCTGTTGCTAAGCCAGACAGCTGTTAAGTGAATCACAGCAGTTGTGAAGTTAGGAGTACGTTTGTTAAGTGAATCTGGCTTTCTTCTTTGACTTTGCTTCTCAGAAGGTCACAAAAGGTGATCACATCACTCTGGGACACTGCAACCGTCATAAATATCAGTCAGTTGGCAAGCATCTGAAGCAATGGATAGAAACTTATCAAAGAGAAAAGCAACCTAGAGTTAAGGAGAAAGTTCCTGACAGTAAGAACAATTAATCAGTGAAACAACTTGCCTCAGAAGTTGTGGGTATCATCACTAGAGGTTTTCAAGAAGAGACTGGACAATCATTTGTCTGGAATGGTATAGGGCCATGATGGCTTCTGTGGGGTGGGATGAGGAGAAATAGGGGTGGAGTTGAATAACCCACCCACAGGGGAGATAAACTTTGATTTAGGGTTTCCTGTTTGGGTAAGATTCTGTCCTTGCCCCTTTTCCCAAGTCGATCTGGCTAGAGAAGCATTTGCATTCTGCACCAGCCTTTACATCTGGGGTTCATTCGGGGGGCCCCATTTCTTGGCTTCCCTCCAGAGGGAAGAAGGCGATCATGGCATGAATTCTCCCGGAGTTCATTCTTTTCTGCACTCACTCTTTCTCGCCTCTTGTTTTATAGCTGTGCAAATTCCATGTTTTATTTGCCCTGCCCATCTCTTCTCATCTCAGGCTGATCCAATGGAGGTGTCATTCATAGATAGGAGTGTATATCGGGGAAATACAAAATCTTTCACGCTGCTTCCAGTCCTCCTTCTCCTCCTCTTCCTCCTCCTCCTCTCCTTCTCTTTCTCCTTCTCTTCTTCCTTCTCCTCCTCTCCTTCCTCCCCCTCTCCTCCTCTTCCTCCTTCTCTTCTTCCTTCTCTCCTTCTCCTCCTTTTCTCCCTCCTCCTCCTCTTCTTCCTTCTTCTCTTCCTCCTCTTCTCCTCCTCTCCTCCTCTTCTCTTCCTCCTCCTTCTCTTCTTCCTCTTCTCCTCCTCCCCTCCTCCTCTTCCTCCTCTTCTCTATTCCTTCTCATCCTCTTCATTTTCTTCCTCCTCCTCCTCCTCTTCTCCTCTATTCCTCCTCCTCTTTTGCCATTTCAGGTGTTGAGGGAGATGTAAAAGTTAAGTTTTTTGCTCTTCTGACGGCCTCAACCATTGTTATGTTATGTTTCTCTGCATCCCCACAAATTAGATATTTTTCAGCCTTTGAAAATCCTATCAGGAATTAGGGGGAAAAAAATCTGTAATAGAGAGAGCACACAGACGAGAATCAAGATTTCTTACTTCTTTCTGTTGCATTTCATTATTTCACCTTAAAACACATATGTGGTTTCTGCTTTTTTTTTCCCTATTTTTTTATACCCAACTTTTTTTTTAAAAAAAACCGACAACCATACGGTTAAGTGTGGCACACTGGCCAAGTATCATTTTGACGCATGTGGTGATTCTCTTTCTTTCTCTTTCCATTTTCCTTCTCTCTCTCTCTTTTTTTATTGTTATTTAAAATCATTCCCCCTTCTGCTCCTCCCTTGCTCTGCAAATAAAGCCTTGATAGAAATACGGTGGCGGAAGAAAACTACTGTTTGGGTGGGATTGGTGCTAGAGACTGTGGAGCACAGCCGCCTCCATAAAGGAAAGGCTTGAATGTTTATGAGGGAAGATAGCGGGGGTGGGGGAGAATGTTTAATTTAACCTGCAAACTTTACGAATCTCAGACTAAACCCCGAGTTTCCAGCCCTCTCTTCCTTCCCCTCAGAAGATGGTTTGTTAAAGGGGAAGTAAGGAACTTGCCAGGCATCCCTCCCCATCTTCCAATAGGAGAAGTTGGAAATGCCTTGAATTTTAAGCTGCATTTCCCCCCCCCTTCCCTGTTTCCCCCCCCTTTCTTTTTCTTTCTTTCTCTCTCTCTCTTTTTTTTTTTTCCTTTTTGTCTCTTTCCTCCCCTCCTCCCAACCCAGCACCACACAGCTGCCTGGAGAACTGGCCAGGTGCCAGGCATTGGCAGATGGCGCACGGCTATTATTCCTCCTCCTTCGCTCGAGTCCCAGTCCCAGCTCCTGCTATTTAATCAAATTATAGGAAAAGGCAATTTACTGGATTTCTTATTCTTTGCAGCGAGTTTCATTCCCCCGCACTGTGCTCTCCTTCTCTTTCCACCCCCCCATTCCGCTTTGTTTCCTTCCCTCACCTCTTTGCTTTAGTAGTATACATCTCTATCTCTCTCTCTCTCTCTCTTTCCCACCCCCCCTGAACACACACACACACACACACACACACACACACACACACACACACACACACAGAGTGCAGAAGGTAAAAGATTTGCAATTGTCAGGGAAGTTGGTTTCTTGGATTCGATCCTTCCACCTTGACACGCAGTAGGTTGGTTCTTCTCTAAGGAGGCCATCCAAGGGGCCATTAAGATGTACAGGTCCAACCCTCAGGGAGAAAAAAAAGTCCTTTAAAAAATAATGATAATAATAATAATAATGCAGCCCAAACACACCGCCCCCGTGATATGCAAATGAAACAGAAATCCACCTCATTGTTTTTAATGCCTGAGAATCTTTCGAGAGGCCTAATTTTACAAGCAGTCCTCATTCTGAAACTCCTCGATCGGTATCAAAAGGGGGCATGACTGGTGTTTTTCTTTTCATTTCTTTGATTAGTCATATTTAAGCTGAGGGTTGGTCTCCGGGTTCCAATACCCCGGTTAAGTCTTAAAATGGCATAATGTGATATTATAAGTAATTCTCGACTTACAACAACAATGGAGCCCTGAATTTCCATTGCAGAAGGGAGACGTTTTTTGAGTGAGTTTTGCCCTAGTTTACGACCTTTCTTGCCACCGTTGTTAAGTGAATAATTGACGTTATTAAGTTACTAACACAGTTGTTAAGTGAATCAGGCTTCCTTTGCCAGAAGGTCACAAAAGGGGATCACATGACCTTGGGACGCTGCAACCATCGTAAATATGAACCCGTTGCCAAGGGTCCGAATTTTGAACCTGTAACCATGGGGATGTTGCAACGGTCGTAAGCATGAAAAATAGCCACGTCACTTTCTCAGTGCTGCTGTAATTTCAAACGGTCACTAAATGAATGGTTGTAAATTGAGGACTACCTGTATGCCTGATGTCGTGGGATTGGTTGGACAGGAGCACCCACCGTCCTCCACTATGCTAGTTGAGGATGTTGTAAAAACAAGCCAGCATATCTGAAGAGGACCAGATATTGAGAGACTCATCATCCTCTGGAATGTGAACAACTCTCCATCCTTCCCCAATGAGGTGCCCTCCAGACAGGGGTGAAATGCTCCCGGTTCGGACCGGAGCAGGCGATCTGTTAGCGATCGTCGCAGTTGGTTCGGCGATCCAGTAGCGATGGCGGAGCAAAGCTCCACCCACCCGCCCGGATGTCGTTACTTCCTGGTTTTAACCAGGAAGTAATGTGTTTTTTACCTTCTGCGCATGCACAGAAGGTTTTGCGCATGCACAGAAGGTCCGCGTGTGCATGTGACGTGAGCAAAGCAAGCGCGGGCGTGCGGCACGTGCACTTCCGAACCGGTAAGGAAGGAGGGTAGATTTCACCCCTGCCTCCAGATAAGTTGGAATTTTATTTATTTATCCCATTTCTACACTGCCGACCTCACCTAAG